CAAAGCAGCTATGGCGCTGCACTCCTGTCCAAAGGACAACCCAAAGCAGCTATGCCGCTGCTGACTAAGCCGCCATGCCTGACTCTGCCTCGAGCTTCCTTGGTGCGGCACTACCCCAACTGGGGCCTTCCAGATGCAGCGCCCAAGAAGGTGATGAAGATGGTGTCCACCATAGCCAGGTAGGTACCTCGCCACTCTCCTCCTTCGCCCCCTTCTTCCTCCTCCTCAGGCTGGGCTGCTCGCCATAGCCAGGCTGAGCGCCCAGCTGCCCAGCGCTGTACAAGTCCAGCGCTTGGCTCAGCAGCATGTCGCCAATCCTTGCATACCGCAAATGAGGAGGAACTACTTGCTCCTCCGGAAGATATAGCGGCCTTCTGGCCTCTTGGGTGGTGACTTCCTAGGCCGAGCGGCCGCCCAGCAACCGGTACCTCCTCCCTTTCGGAGGGAAACATCATTGCAGGCTCTGCTATCGTCCGGACAGGCCCTAGACTCAGGCTACTTGGACTGCTACCGGCCTACCTCTATCCTACTGCTACTGGGACTCTAAAAATGCCAACTTTTTGTCTTCTTCTGCTCGACCTCCAGTACCCGACACTCCTACCACTACTTGAGTGGTACCGGCCTAAGTGTTTTTCCCCGCTGCTCTAAGTGTCGCGGGCCTACCCCACTACTTGAGTTTTTTCGCCGCTGCAACCCTCAAAGTCACGGCCACAGGTAAGTACCGGCCCTGCGGGGCCTTTCGACCAACAAGTACCCTTGCGGGTCACACACACACTCAGCCGACAAGCACTCAGACAGGCATGCAAACCAGCAGGCACGCACACACACACACAGACTTGGAAACCACAGCAGAATGCGGGAATCTCAGCAAGGCATTCATTCCAGCGGCAAATCCCAGAAATCAGCAGTGTTCTCAGTCTGTGTTTTGGCGGGTCATTACATGGTAGAAAAAAGTAAAGAGTTGAGCAGCTGGGCTCTCCCATAGATAGAGACCGCTTTCAAAGCATTAACCTATTTGCAGCCTGGCCATAATTCTTGCTTCGATAACTGCATTTGAGTTAGACTTTGAATCTTGCAGCTGAGGATCATCTCGAAATTTGCAGTCAAATATGAGGAAAAAAATAAAAACGATTTTTTTTTTTTGAGGCACGGGGGAAGGGGGGGAAGTCAATCCGAGCGGTCTGGAGCCATGCATACGGAGATCCGGGCAGACGTCTGGATTGGTCCGGTGTCCGGGTCCCGTATAGCTATGGTTTCCATGGTTTCAGTTTTTGGAGCTTTTGCCAAAACTGCGTACCTCCAAAAAGTGTGGCGAAGTCCGGTAACTCCGGATTTTTCGTAGATTTGTATCGGGACTACAGGAATAGAAAGGCACCCTGCCACCGTTCCGTCAGCCAGGAGTTTTCAGAGGAGTTACCTGTATAGGCTTAGGCGTCAACATAAGAGATAGCAGGACTCGAAAAGAGTTAACAGGAAAAAAAAAAAAAAAAGGGAGGTAAAAGTTAAAAGTTAAAACTTAAAACTTAAAACTTAAAACTTAAAACCAGTACTATATCTGAGCCTCTTTTTGCCGAGGCCGAAAAGAGCTGCGCGCCAAACTTTGCAGTAGCACCACGGAGACCTTTCTTTTTTTCTGGGTTGCTGTGGTTCTGTAGTCGAACAACGTGTCCTGTAAGAGACTTTGGCTCTTGTGGCCAAGGTCACCAGTACGAATCTGTGCTTGCACGGAGGAAGTCTGAGGCCTAGAGGTACGCTGCTGCCACCAGCCATTTTGATCTGGTAGGACTGTGCACCTGAAGAATGCAGCTCGGCTTTTTTTTTATCCGACCACAATCTGGTCAAATCTGAGTGGCGTATGAGTAGAAGGGTTGAGAATCTTGAGATGCTTCACGGTGTTTGTGTCAAGGAGATGAGGGGAGTAAGTTGATAGCGCCATGATAGTAAAGCTCATGTCAACTTCTTCTTGTTTCCACTCCATGATTTCATGTATTATATTAGTTCTATCTCATGGTCCAGAGCTTGCTGTAATAAACTCAGTTCATAGACATATGTTACATCTTTGACGCCACACGGGTCCTACCGGACCCGACTTAGGGCTAGAGGGACACATCAGGGCCTAAAGGCCCGACCTTGGGGGTACTACAGGCCATAAAGGCCTCACCTTAGACCAGACCCGACGGGCAGGCCCAAACGACATTACCGTTTGGGCCTGGCGGCGCTCTTGAGGCTGCCGCCCGCCGGTTGGGGCTGAACCGTCCATCTGGACGGTTCAGGGCACGGCCAGGCCTCGCAGCATT